AAGACTTCGAGATGATGTACTGACATTCGCTAGTGGACTATCAGACTAGAAGTCGTGCAGATAGCTTTAGAACCTATCAAGCGCTTCATGCTCCATCAGATAATGCTAGGGTACGTATCGGACTTGCAGTTGGGCATCGAGAGCAATCAACCAAGGATAAACCTATTGAACCAAAGCAGAGTCTGGAAGACATAGAGTCCTTGCCCAAGAACATCGGAGAAAAGAAGTTCATGCGATTCAGCGAGCTACCAGCCTACTCTGACGGAACCCAAAAGATAATTAAATTGAAGTTGTTAAACAAGTTGGAGCTAGAAAGAAAAGGAATTGACAATCTCGACTTACATGACAAGAACATGACGTTGAAATCTAAATGCTTTGGACCTGATTAACAAGAAGCTGGAGTACCAAACAATAATGGGCAGATTCGAAGTATATTTTGGCCACCGCTCGAGAAGAAGAATATTTTTCTGAAGCGGCTTTATTAAAAAAGGGGAAGAATTTTAGGTTTATATTTTGTTTGTAATAAAGTATATGGACCAAATTTGTAAAAACCTTCAAGGTATATATATAGGTCTCTAATCTCTAGTGTAGGTCAACTCAATATATTATTATCAGCTTATTATTGAGAAACAACCGCCAAAGGCAAACCCAATATTTTGTAGTCCACGATTTGAATCAATAGACAAGCTGACTGATTTGCTATTTGCATTGTGGTAATGTTATATCATTGTTTCTTGTAATCATCTGGGTAAACAACACTAACAATTCTTCATTTCCGTTCTTAGAAATCTTGGTTAAGGAGTTGCTTGTTTCCCACTTAAAAGAATTTGAATCAGTAGGTAGTTGCATTAGAATTCATTACAACTCATGCAGAATTATTAGAACTTATTATCATCGATCAAGATTTATTTAAACCCATTAGAACTCATCAAGATCCAATAAAGCTTATTAGAATCTAATATGAGGTTTTTGAAAAGCAAAAAAATTGTTACCAGAATTCTATCTGTGAAATATAAAAGTTATCGATTGACTACCAACGGTTTTCAAGAAAAAAATACATTAAAAGTAAAATGAATTAAGGTTTAGTGTTTTGGATAAACTATAGATATTACCGACTAGTTATTAATGGAGCCCTAAAAAGTAAATGAAAATTAATGAACTTTAAATGTTAACAATAAAATGCCGAAGAAATTATGATTCATCGCTTAGTTGTTGGTGATTGATCGATAATTGTCGTAGATTAGCGACAAATTACTGACGGATATTTTTTGGTCGTAAAACCGTCATTATCTATTGGTTTATAAATATGTTGGTGTTCCATCGGTCTTCTATCAATTTTTACCAACGGATTTCTTCAGTCATTACTATCTATGTATGTTACGAAGATATGCAGAAATGTGGTAATCTTGATCTGAAATAGACAAATAACTTAATCATGTTATATATTGGATGGTCTTGGCCAATATATGACCAGACCGATTAAACTTTAACTTACTAAAGAAAATGAGTCGACTCCAGATCAAAACTCCAGTTTTAAGTGAATCAACAAAATCAATCATCTCACTACAATGAAATCTGGTTTATAAGACACCAATATTATCTTAGTTTTATAGTAGATTATTTTATAGAACATAAGTTTACAGAATTGACAATTGTATAAACTATCTAAAAGTGTTGTAATAAGTTTATAAATTGTTTTTTGGCGTCTTAATAAACTTTGTATGACACCTTTGAAATAAATGATCATATTGGTCCTTTTATAGGACAATAATTGAAAAAAAATGTCTTATAAAACAAGTGTTCTATAAAATATGTTTATTGGACAATATTCAAAATTGTCTTATAAAAAGGTTAATTGAACATTTGTTTTAAAAGTATCCTAGAAAGTTTGTTAGAACATTGTTGGTCCCAGACGGATCTACAAGAGTTTAAAGGTAACAGTTTGTTGGGGGGGATGAATACAAACACAATTATTTTCACTTTTTAAAATCTTTTATTGTTAAAGAAGATCAATACATAATTTACAGATTGTTTGTGGAATAAGATAAGATACATAACTTATCTAAAACAATCTAAGAAACACACAAGAAACAGAAAGCAAGAAAGAAAAGACTTGCTAAAAGAAGAAGCAATAACTTCTTTAGAGATAAAGCTTAGTTGATGTTCTTCACTAGTAAACGTAACTTTGTAAGGTTAAGAGGTTTGTGCTTGTATGAGTATCTCTTCTTTGGTATATTGTGATCTAAAGGATTATTTGAGAAAGAGGGACTTCTAAGCTATTTATACCCATTGCATTAAATGCAAGACAGATAGTACAAGGCATGTGGAAAGCTTCTAGATGTGAGCTTGTCCTTTATTTTCAGATATACAGAATTTTGGCCCTGTGTGAACAGTAGTCTTTCACAAAGTAGGTAAGCACGTTTGGACACAATAGAAAGACTTCATACGAGTGCTTTACTTTGAGTGGTATGAGTTTGTTCTTTGTGTGGAGGAGGATAAGACAAATGCTAATCTTGATCAACAAGATTCATTTGATCGCTAACACTGGAACTCTAAGGTTTCTTCAATGTATGTTGAATCTTGAGTAGACTTCACACATTTGTAGATAGACTTGTTATCACAGAAACCGCATTAGATCACGAATTGCTTGTTTCTATCTTCAGCTTTATCTTCGATATCACTGAAGGTTCTTGTGGTGTGAGTTTTGTCTTATTGAAGAATACTTGTTTCTTAATAGTTAAAATACATTTTCAGCAATCACTGAACAGACTTTGTGATGATCGTTGAAGCTAAATAAACAAAAAGTACTTTTTGTTAGATAAAAAAGGATCATCATCAAATCACTAAGAGAATGGATCAACAAACATCCAAAATACTCTTATAAACTTATTATAATATTTTTAAATAAAATATGTACCTTTTTGTTTTTTATAAATGTAAGTAGTAAACTCAAAATTTGATCCTTGACATTTAGTGAAAAGTCTAAAAATGGGACTGAACTTTGATAAATTTAAAAAACATCCTTTATGATCTTCATTTTGTTCTGAAAATGATCTCTGATCATCAATTCTATTAAACAATGCCACTTTAGCATTTTTAAACAATGCCACTTTAGCATTTGTACAATTTTTTAATTTCTTAATGAAACAATTAAACATATTATTATTATTATTTTAATTTTTATACAATTTATAGAAATATAATTACTTCTCTCTCTAAACCCTTATCCCCCCAATATGTATATAATGAGGCCGCTGGGTCTTGTCTTGGCCGAAAAAGAAAGGCAAGGTCAGTGGTAACTCTATTACAGAGAGGGTTTATTTTGCAAATCATACTATTTATATAAACTTTATTTAATCAATCATAATTTTTTTATTCATTTATTTATAATTATGAGAGGTCGATTAATCATTTTTATTGTGGATGGTATTAATCATGAATATTATCATCTTCATGATATTAACTTTACATAAATACGTGAAACAGTTTCATTATAATTTCATAAGTATTATATGAAACAATTTCATAATCATATATGAAACAATTTCATGAAAAAATTTCATAAGATTAAACAATGAAATCGACGAATGAAAGTAGTTTGCACGGTTTGTATTTGATAACTCCTCCTCTGTTATATATATATATATATATATATATATATATATATATATAGAGAGAGAGAGAGAGAGAGAGAAGGTTTACTTTGCAACCATGCTTTTTAAACAAACCATACAAATTAATTACATCCATCCATTTTCATGATCAAAGACGACTAACACAAGTTATTTTAGTAAAGTAAAAGAATAAAAGAAAATAAATTATTATTATTATTTTCAACAAGTAAGGGTAAAACGGGAATAAATAATAAACTGTTGCGATCATTGAAATCCCCTTTCTCGCATTCTATCACGTTAACATGTTTAATAATGGGACAATTGACTATTTAGAAGTGTTAATGATGAAACATAATGAAACTGTTAATAATGAAATAGAATAAAATTATGGCATTAGACAGAATGAAACATAATGAAGCTGTTAATGTTGAATATGTTAATGATAAAACATAATGAAATTGTTAATGATGAAACAAAATGAAACTGCTAATGATGAAACATAATGAAACTGTGACATTGGACAAAAAGAAACAGAATGAAACTCTTAATGATGAAATAGAATGAAACTATTAATGATGAAATAAAGCTACCTATAAACTATAAAATAAGAGATATTTTAATAAATGATGAAACATAAAAATATTCTTTAATCAACAGTTGTATATTTTTCGAAGATGACAATTTGTATCAACATATTTAATGGATAAATCAATTAAATATTTACTAAAAAAATGCTCGTTAATCAAGATATAATTCATATTTATATAAAGTTAAAGAATTATCAAACTTATCTATTAGTATTAAATACTTACCACACATAACTATTGTAATATCAAAAGGCCATAATGCCTTTATAAAAATAAAAAAACAAATGGATTTATATGATTGAATGTTATTAGTTTATATAAATTGAAGCAGTTTATATTTTTACATACATCTCATATATATATATATATATATATCTATACTACTTTATTAAGCATTTTCACTCAAAGTCTTAAAGTCTTAAATTTATAAATACCCAAAATACCCTTTTACCTTTAATGCATAAACTACAAGACACGCTTCAAATTATCACTGCTGTGTTGATTTAGGTTCCCAGACATGCTTTCATGCACGCTCATCATTCCCGATTCAAGCACGCTCACATGCTCGATTGCAGGTTTCCAAGACGCCGATTGAGGCTCCAAGACGACGATTGAGGCCTCCAAGACGACGATTGAAGCCTCCAACACGCTCGATTGCAAGGTCTTACTTCTGGCTCCTTTTGATTCATACCTCCACCTCCCAATTCTTCTTCAATTCACTGCCGTAATCCGATATTGATTAGGTCTTTTTGTGGGTTTGAGAAGTTCAGACCTGTCTCCCCAAATTATTCAACTGTTTGTAATCGATTTCCGATAGTTACAGGTATGACCTTGACCTTTTTATTGTGAATTTAAGTTGGGATTTTTTGTTCTTCAAGGAATAGTGGGTTTGATTTAGTATACATGTGGGTTGCTTTTCTTTTGATTAATTAATTGTAAGAAATTCTAGGGTTTGAGATTGTAAATTGTAAGAAATTCTAGCTGAAAATGACGATTGGGTCTGAAAAGCCTGTGAAAGAGAAGAGATCAAGAAAGAGTAAACAAGTAGTTGTTGTTGATGAGAAATCGCCATTGTTACCCACCAAGAAAGGTGAAGATGGAGGTTTTGATGAGTTCAATGGAGCTTCATTTGCTGGTGCAGTGTTTAATTTATCAACCACAATTGTGGGTGCTGGAATTATGGCTTTGCCTGCAACTATGAAAGTATTAAGGCTTATACCCGGAATTGCTTTGATTATCTTTATGGCGTTCTTGACGAATGCCTCGATCGATCTTTTACTTCGATTCAGTAGGGCTGGGAAATCGATTTCTTATGGAGGTGTTATGGAGGATGCTTTTGGAAGAATTGGTAGACTGTTGTTGCAAGTATGTGTGTTGGTTAACAACATTGGTGTTCTTGTTGTCTACATGATTATCATCGGTATGGCTCGATTGATTCGTTAGTTTTCCTTCATATTTATTTGGGTATTTGTTAATTTTTGAAATTATATGAGATCTTGAATATGTGAAGAACTTGATTTTGATTTGGCTTTGTGTTCTTTAGATGATGTGCTTTCTGGAACAACTTCAGATGGGATTCACCATGCTGGTGTTTTACAAGGGTGGTTTGGTGTAYACTGGTGGAACGGTCGTTCGCCGTTAGCCAGTCTGAAGCGGATAGGTTAGTCTTTGTTCTTGATTGGCAAGTTTTAGGAATACATTTGTTAGCATATAATAGTTTCTATTTGCTGTTATCTAATTTTGATTCAAATCAAGGTGTCAAGAATTAGTCTTTTTCTTCTTGGTTGGAAAGTTTTAGGTATCCAAATGTTAGCAGAATAGCCTCTATTTGCTGTTATCTGGTTGATCCAATTCAACGATTAACCTTTTTTCTTAAATGGCAAGTTTTAGGAATCGAATTGTTAGAAAGATAGCCTCCATTTGCTCTTATGCGGTTGATCCAGTTCAAAAGTTAGTCCTTTTTCTTGGTTGGAAAATGAAGTTGTCAATACARGGCASGAAGATGAAGTTGTCAATAAGGAAGATGACACATCYACGTCTGAGCAACATCAACTGAATAAGAAACATTTAGATGACACTTACCAACAATCTGAAGTCCAGTCAAACGAGAATGTAGTAAGTTTCCTCTATTTCCCTTTCAAGCTTGATTTTCCATTTTTGTAATTCTGTTTGGAATTTTAGTGCATGGGACTCCTTAACAAGCTCTAGCATTTACTTAGGACGGTATGATAGCCACAAGAAGTTTTTTAGAATTTTGATACTATAGTATGAGTTTTGGTTTCTAAAATGTTATATTTGTCGTCTTTCTTTTCCTTCTAATATATATATATATATATATATACTATTTCCATGCAAGTTGTTGGATGGTATCATGCTACTCTTCCCGATATATTGTTGTGGCTGGTTCTGTAGGGTGAGTTTCAAGGCATGTACTTAACTACTATATCTAATTAAGAATAGATACCAATTCTGTGAAGGAGTCCACATTTTTCTTAAAACAACCATTTTTAATGTTGAGCAGTTGAGTTGAAGGCCTATTAATTTCAAAGTTGGTATGACGACTCCTCTTCTTTTTTCCCTTTTTGGGTGCGGTGGGGTGGGGATGGTGGTAACTTTACAAATTTATAGGCACTTGTATTCGATCTTGAGAAGTTGTTGGTTTGAGTATTGTGGCCGATGCGAAATTTGTTCCTTCTCAAGTTCACATGATAAATATTCATAATGGATGTCGTATTGTGACAAAAATTCATTATCATTCAAGGTTATTCGTCATAGGTTCTCAAATTATTTAAGGTTCCTAAGTGAATCTCCCTACATAATATATATGTAAATGTAACTTGTTGRGATGCACTTCCAAGATCTCTGACATGATCAAGGGATGGGTCGGCKGGTGTTCGACACCTCAGGCCTATGGGAATAAACCATGATGAGTGATTTGTGGTATTGGATCTGTTAATGGTTAATGTTTTTAGCAGGGGGAAGATCACTCAAATGAAAATGAGGGCGGACATAAGAAAGTGCGCAATCGTGGCAGGGGCAAGGGACGTGGGTGACCTCAATATAACCATCATAACAACCGGGGGACTCATGTGGTGACACCACCTTCAACTAATTGCGTGAACACTGAGCATCCAGTGATCGGAAAGCAACCTCCAGGGCCTCGAATGCCAGATGGTACCAGAGGGTTCTCCATGGGCCGAGAAAAGGCAGTCGCTGTTCCTGGTGACAGTAGTGTATCTTTGATGACATAATCAAAGAGAAGCAGGAGCAGTTGAAATGGGGGAGATGGGTTGGTTCCAATAATCTTGTTGAATGTTGGGACTAAGGATGGGAGAGTAGTTCTTTTATTTCTTCTTGTGGTTGAGAGTATTGTGTATTCTAAAGTAAGGATGATATTGGTAAAAGTAAAACAGATGTGGGTTTTTTGATATTGTTTTAGATGATGATGATGGCGATGTGTTTCTTGTTTGATAATGTTGAATGGAAGAAAAAGAAAGATAAGGGGGGGATGTAACTTGAAATGAAGTGAAGAAAGAGGATGGTTGGCTTAATGGGGATATGTGTATTAATTGAAGTTTATATAGATTTCATCCACTTTTTGTTTTATTTGGTCTTTTTCTTTATTTTATCACTTTGGCAGCCCTATTTGACTTCACTTGGCCTTGCACCAAATGAAACCAAACAATACAAACACAGTAAAGAGGTGAGGTAGGGGTGGGATGTGCATGTATATGAGCTGGTGGAGAGAAGAACTTCATTTTATGAAAATGCGAGAACGCTATTATTACACGTGATAATATATGTGAGGACACTTGCTGGTTGTGGATGACTTGACACATGATTTAAGTTGAGTGACGCATGTATTTTATGTGATGGATTATCGTATCACATTGAAGAGCATTCTTATCACATGTGATAATACACGTGATGAGCTTAGGGGCCGTTTACCAAACACTTACCCGGTAAGCATCTAGCGGAAAATTCAACACTATCATTTACTTACCGGGTAAGATTTTAGTCAATGAAAAACGGCTTTTTATGCAACGAATTACCCGGTAAAAGCTGACCGTGGTAAGAGTCACTACCCTCACTTACCGGGTAAGACTCTAGGTCCTTGCCTCGCTCTTACCGAGTAAGATTCATGGTCATTTCCATGTTCATTCGATAAGGTAATATAACTTGGTAAACGCTTACCCAAGTAAGCATTTGGTAAACGGCCCCTTAGTGATGTGCATTTTTGCAAAATGAATGTGTTATCGTTTGATTCTTTTGTATATGAGTTCTCTCTCTTAAAGAGTAGAATGACTGATTTGGTTGGATAACATGAATCAAACCTTGACATCGTTAAACTAAACCGAATTAAACTTGTCAAATATAGAGACTCGGTTTAAGAGTAAGGGGTTGTTTACCAAATTTTTTATCAAGTCTTGTATGAATAAATTTGTCCGTTCGGATAAATTTGTTTGTCCGGATTTACATTGGCTTTTGTAAAATATTGTGCTATTTTGCTGTTTGGGGGTTATAAGGATGATCTAAATAGATAGACTGTAATTGGAACCATAATTCTTATTTATTCGAATTTTATTAATATGTAAAGACCAAGTGTAACTTATATCATCGTTAAATCTTCTATAATAAAACCAGTAAAACTTTAAAATCGTTAAAATTCACGGCTCCCGCCGCATTGCGCGGGTATACAACTAGTATATATTAAAACACGAATATTAAACAATCTTTATTCTATTTATAGTAGGAAAAAATTATTAATAGGTAAAAGACAAAATATAAAAAATACATTAACATGAAAAGATATAAGAATATTATCCATCATTTAACGGACATTGTTTAACGAATTTAATGATAAGGATCACTTTTTAAAACAAAATAAAAACTACGTGGATTTATCAAATTAAGACCCCACTTCCAAAATTTTCAATGGACTGACACTTTTATATCCTGTAACTGTAAGCTAACTTTATTGCATTGTCGTTTTGTCAACTCGTTAACCTAATATAGCATGGAATGACTTAAAGTGGGAGAATAGAGTGGATTATTTTAAATCGTATAGGTTTTATAACATGAGTGTTTATGAAGAATAAAATATTTTATCTACATTATTTGTGAGTTTTTTTAAAATGTTATCCGTATTATTATAAGAGTAATTGCATTTTATATATAACTAGAAGGATACTCGTATAATGTAGCGAAATATATTTTCATTTTAATATTTCGTTTTATTCCGTTTTTGTGATGTTTTAGTACAATTTTTATATAGTTTCGAGAAATAGATAAAATATTTTTTATTTTTAAATAAAATATAAATTTGAATATATCATAAAATTTCGAAAATAAGTATATTAATATTAGTATCAAATTTACTATTTAAAAGTTCTTGTTTTTCATGTAATTTCTTTATTTCAATTTTTTATTATAATTTAATTTAGATATATCAACGGAGTAATTTATTTTTGATTTAATAATATATAATTTTTTTATAAAGATAATAATTAAGTATTATGTTAGAACTCAATAATTATCCTAATTATTTTTAGATTTTTTATATTTAAAATTAAATGTTTATCTTGTATTTGACTATGATTATCTGCAGTTAATTACATGAATTCAAACATGAAGTTTTAATAAGTTGTACTTACGCACAATTTGTTTGTAACCTTGCATTTTAAGTAATATGCATCAATAAACACTACTTCAAGTATATAAAAAATGGTTTTCAAAAGTTTTTGTCAAATGTTTTATAATATAGTATAGATATTTATGAGTTTTGTAAAATATTATTGGGTAATATTATAAGAGTACTTGCATTTTTAGTCCTTGGATTTTGTGGGGTTTAAATGAATTTGGTCCATATAATTATTTTATTTCTGATTCGTCAATCACATTCGCAAAAAAGTCTTGGTTTTTGACCCTTCTACCAAAGGTTGTAAATTGTTTATGTTAAATTTGATTTATTACGAGCCATTTTTGTCAATTTACCTTTTTCTCTTATTTTCTATTAAAACTTTCAACAACAAATTATTCTATATACATACACACACAAGGCATATGCACAGGGACCAAGTCTCCGATCAGTCTTTAAAGATTCATAGAGCTTCATCGATTAAGCTTCTAAGCAAATCAACAACTTCTTCACCCTTTTCCCTCCCGTTCCCTATCCTCTTCGTCTGGTTTGTGATATAGAGGTGTATGATAATAGAAGTCGGTCACATGGGTTGGTTTATGGTTGCTTCTTATGGTGAACAATGCCAGATAATAGAAGTCGGTCAAGTGGTAGTTTGATGTATGCTATATATTATACTAGACTAGATATTGCATATGTTGTTTGCAAACTTTCAAGGTTTACAAGTAATCATAGTCTAGAACATTGGGAACCTATTGGGAGAGTCTTTGGTTATATAAAGAGGAATAAAAAGCTATCTTTACACTATGGAAACTTCTTTGCGGTTCTAGAGGGATATTCGAATGCTAGTTGGGTTATTGGCAATAGTGATATTAAATCCATAAGTGATTGGTTTTTTATGCTTGGTGGTGATATTGTTTCTTGGGCTTCATAGAAATAGACTTGTATAACTCATTCCACCATAGAATATAAGGGGTTGTTTGGATCATTGGAATTGATAGGAATTGGAATGTCCAATCCTTTGACCAAATTCCAAATAGAGTGTTTGGTTCATGGAATAAGATTATGGAATCCTTTCAATTCCAGTCGATTCCTTCACACACAGGTTTTACAATTCCATGGCAATATGCTAGGATTTCAATTCCTTTCCTACAGATTCTTTCCCTAATCCAATTCCATGCAACCAAACGCAATCACAAGGCATGGTCAAATTCCATCATTCCAGTCCCTCAAAGTCAAATTCATTTGATGAATTCCAATTCCATCGAATTTCATTCTACGAACCAAACGTCCCCTAAGTTTTTAAGCCTAAGTAATGTCAGGTAAAGAAGCTTAATGGCTTAGAAATATGTTATTGGATATAAAGTTGTAGTCACAACCGATGTCATCCATTTCTTTGCATTGTGATAGTGAGGCAAACTTGTCTAGAGCATATAATATGATTTGAAATGAAAAATCTGGACATATTAGTTTGAGACACGTACGTGAGAGAGTTAATATTCGACGAGATAATAACAATTACATATATAAGCACTTGTAATAATTTGGCTGATCCTTTTAACAAAGGACTCTCAAAAGATATGGTATTTGGAATAAGCCGTGAAATGGGATTAAGACCTATTTGATCAGTTGGCAACAATGGAAATCCAACCTTTTTCTAAGTATACCCTTACATAAAAGGTTCAATATGGTAACAACAAATTGTTGATTTCCATCTAGGTTCATACTAGTTAGATCTAGCATATGTTTTTAGGGTGAGTGCTACACTCTTAATGAAATTCAATGTTTAATGAATTTCACCTGTATGAATATAAGAGATGTTTCGCTTCTAAAAAAACTGGGGTAAACTTTTGTAAGTGTTCATGAATCCAGGATGAGCGCAGGGCCATAATGGTGTTTTATGTTTATAAACATATCTTGATAATCAATTGTGTGTGTGATTATTCCGCTTTTAATATATAAATCTTGGCTCAAAAGTTATAAGCCGCAAATATAGTTAGAATCTTGAGTAATTTACATTAAGTTATCAAATCAAAAGATACTTTTACTTATGCACAATTGATTTTATTAAATGAAGACTAAGTGGGGGATTGTTGTATATATAGTCTTCATAGTGAAATTCATTGTGAGGTTTGTCTAACATAGAAAACATAGTGAAATAATGAAATCATACTTGTATTGATAAGCTATACATACATACATACATACATACATACATACATACATACATACATACATACATACATACATACATACATACATACATACATACATACATACATACATATGACTTTTAGGCATATCACTTGTCTCGCATTAGTAGAGTGATAAACTCTTTCTTAGTTTATAATCTTTAAACAACTTGTAGAGTTCTTTAAGAGATCAAGTGAGCTAAGTAGAATTTGTCCTTGTGTGAATTTTACACATATTAAACGTTCAAAAGATAGCACTATAGCAATAGCGTTAGCACATTTCTTTCTCTTTACACAAATCTACAGACTTTGTTTATGGGAGATATATTTTGTTGTTGAATATATCTCATTTGATTAGGCAATCTTAGGGGTATTTTAGCCTATAACCCAAACAACCTTAATAGTGGGAGCTATTAATATC